GATATGACTGCGTCAGAGTATGCCCGAAAGTTCCTAGAGTTGGGCCGGTATTTCCTGAGAGCATGATGGATAAATGTAGAAAGGTAAGGAAGTTCGAGTGGGACATCCATCCTAAAGATTAGACAACAGCTGTATGTCTTCGAGCTCAGTAGTTACTCAGTTGTTCTGGTTAAGGTACAGCTAGTGGAGAGGAACCTTTGCATTTTTTATCCAGCAGTGGAGAACCTCACGCCGCAGACCAGCACCCACTGCATTTTTTTAGTAGAATAAGAGACCTAGGCTAATGACTCAGGTTCCTCTTCAGATTCCGGTAACAGGACGCGGCTTGATAGTATTGTGGCAAGGATCATGAGGACTAACCCTGCTATCGCCTTAACAATACTTGCCGTATATATAAAAGTGCCCAACACTACGCGAGAGAGTGCCCAAGGAATCAGAATCAGACTAGACCTCCTATTTAGGGTAGAGCTTACAGTTTCATTCAGCAAGATGCAAAAGCCAACCCAGACGTGATACATGGTACGTACACTATCTGTAATCATTTTGCACATGTTTTGATTGATACTAGTGTCTCACATTTATTTGTCTCACATACTTTTACACTAAACTTGAAGGTATTACTTGAAAAACTTAATTCTGTATTGTTTGTGTTTACTCCTGGGAGTAGGACGCTGCTAGAGGAGGTTATATACAAATCTTGTATCATAAATATAATAGATAGAAAATATAGTGTGGACTTAATAGAAATTGACACGAGGGACTTTGATGTAATCCTAGAAATGGACTGGCTAGCGGCGTATTACGCCACCGTAGATTATTTTCACCAAAAACTTGTATTCAACCCTAATAATAAAGAATTATTTACAAATTAATAAAATTATTATGTAAGGAATGAAAATTCTACTTATATTATTTTGCTTTCGCATTTAATTTATAATTTTATTTTCTTTTAAATTCTGAGTATTTATAGTTAGTATCAGAGCCAGGTTCTTTTCCGGCTGGTGGCTCCGCTGGCTTATCTTTGCAGCTGAGATTTTTTCTTCAGTCAATCTATTTAGGCGCTCGGAGGTGGCTCTGGTATTGCGGCGGTTAGCGATCGGCTCCATTCTTTGGTGACTGGTTCTTCTTCGGCGGGACGCTAGTGCCTAGAGTTTAGGTTCGGTGTGATGCGAAATATTTATACCTATCTCGCGTTAATCTGTATCGTTCATCGCGTTTAATCTCGATCGTTCGATCGCATTTAAGGAGGAATCGAATCTGGGCTGTTCATCACGTTTAATCTCGACCGTCCAATCGTGCTTAAGGAAAATACAGATCCAGACTGTCCACATGTGCGGGATCGCTTTTGGTTCGTCCGATCGCGAGGTACGTGAATCGACGGCGTAACCTCACGCATGGCACCGAGTCAGTGCGCCTTGCCATGCGGCGTGCTTCGATTCATCGAGGCTGCTGACTGGGCGGTCCTATGTGGCTAAATTTTTCTTATTTGGACTTTGACTCCCAGTTTTTTATTTTTCTCTCAAAACACTATCCGAACCCAAATGTTTACTCTTTTTTTTTCAAAATTATTTTTAATTTCATCCTTAACCTTTTTTTTTTTTTTTTCATAATTTCACATTAAATTAAAATTTATTAATTTTAAAAATAGATTTTTATACATTTTAAAATGTTAAAATTAAAATCGGGCCAAATTTCAAGGTTGGGTATTACAACTCTTTCTCTCTTAAAAGAAATTTGATTCTTACACAATAATCTAGAAACCCAATAGAATTATGAGAATATTTTTTCTAAAAAAATAAATAAAAATTAAAGAAATAAACGAAAAATAAATAACTGAGCATTCTATGATGACAATCACTAGCTTTTGAATGGAGTTCGGGTGGTGAATTATTCATAACTTTCTTGTTGATCGCTATTTGAATCTTGATTCTTTTGATATGAAATAGTTAATGAAAGGGGACCAAAATTTAGATCTCGGTCAATAAGAGAGTTGTGAATAGTTCACCACTCGGACTCTCTTCAAAAGCTAGTGAAGGTCGTCTTAGGATACTTAATTATTTGTTTTTCGTTTATTTATTTAATTTTCATTTATTTTTTTAAAATAGATATTTTCGTAATTCTATTGGACATTCGAAATTATTATGTAAGGAATGAAAACCTTAATTCTATTATTTCGCTTTCGCATTTAATTTATAATTTTATTTTCTTTTAAGTTTTGGGTCTCTACTGTTGGTATCAGAGCAGACAAAAGAGTTATACAGATATCAGGAGAAAAAATTTGAAATTTGAGAAACGTGATCGAGTGTTCTTAAAGGTCACCAATTTTTTAGAAAATTAGCAGGTTTGGCAAAAAGGAGAAACGAAATCCTCTGGTTTATTAGGCCATTTGAGATCTTTAGATAGAATTGGTACTACCACTTACAGACTGACATTACTTCCAGAACTGTTCAAAGTTAATAATGTGTTTTATGTGTCCATGCTATGTAAGTACAACTTAGATTTTTCTCACATCTTGGCCTACGAGCTTCTTTCACTTAAGGAGAATCTGTCATATGAGGAGATATTAATGGGCATTGTAGATCGAAAGAATAGAGTATTCTGCAACCGAAAATTTTTCTTCGTTAAGGTCCTATGGCAGAATTACACACATAGAGAGGTCACATAAGAGCTAGAATCAGATTTTAAAATTCAGTATCTCCAACTATTTGATTAAGTAAGAGGGAAACATATTTGAGGGACTAAATTTCTTTTAAGGAGGAAGAGTTATAATCCTCGAATCTGAAATTTAACCCGAAATTAATTTTAATATTTTAAAATATATAAAAATTTATTTTTGAAATTAATAAATTTTAATTTAATATAAAATTAAAAAAAATTATACATTTTAAAATATTAAAATTAATTTTGAATTCGAGTATTACAATTAAATTTATCATACATAGTGCACATATTAATAGTCATAAATGTTTCATTATATAGATAAACAAGAATTATGTAAATTAAAAAGTTATTATTCTTAGAGGTTATTTAGTCATTTTACTAAATCAATGATAAGATTGAACGTATTTATAAACATATTTATAATCATAAATTCAAATAAATATTTTTGTATATAAATTATTAAAAAGTATGTAAATTGAAATTTTATTAATTGCAATAATTTATTTTAATAGAAACTTAAATTTTTAAGGAAAGTCAGACTAAGTGCCTAAGTTGGAGATAAACTAGAAAAATACCAAGAACAAAAAACCAACCATATGCTTACATGAAAAGGGAAGAGAACCATATACGCATTTGATGGAGTTAAACAATAATGTACTCATCTATTTGTGTGTATATAAATATATATATTTGTATAGTATCCAACAACTGAAGAGATTTGACTACTTGGGCCTCATATGATTACAGCTTGGCTTGTTCTTGAAGTTGTTCCTGACAAATATTCCATTAATTAGAATTACCAGACTCTAATCTTTTTTCAGAGAAATGAAAAATGAAACAAAGAATACCAAGATGATGAAGATGATGAATAATGGATTAAATTGCATTTAGGTCCCTCAATTTTGCCTTAATTTCCAGACTCAACTTTAGAAATTATGAGAAACCAACCTATTTTCACATGAAACCAACAATCTTCTAAAATTAAAGAACAAAAACCAGAAGGAACCAAATTCTAAGTTACCTCTGTCACAAAGAAGGCATGGAAGCCATATGGAACTCTATGGAGTAAATCAACAACTGCAACAGGATCTGCTGACATTGTTTTTGCATCCACAACATTCACTGAAGATTTTCTGTGTCATAGGTTAAAAAAGAAAGTAAAGAACTAAACCCGGAACTGAATTTTCTCATAAAAAATGTAGAATACGAATAGCATGAGAGGTGGAAGGATTACCCAGTATTCTCATCGTGTACAAAGAGTATCAAGTAGCCATCGTCTTCTTCGGAAGAATAACCAGGTTGACGTGGCACGAAGATAGCTTCTGAACCAAATCTACCAGGTCCCAAGTCGTAGATGCCTTTAACATTTCCTCCAACTTCAAGCTTTGTTTTTCCTGCCTCTGGTTCATCATGCAGATCAAATTTTACAACTCCTGTGACCTTAGCAATGCTGTCCAGAATGGTTCCATAGACATATCTTTGTTTTCTAAATTCATAAATGCGAAAACAATGAGTTAGAAAATAGAGTGAAAAAGAAAGATTTCCGATTACATAATTTAACAACCAGAAGAACATTATCAAAATAGCATAATGAAGAAGATGATGACGAAGTGAACTTCTACGGAGTAATATATGATATTACGCAATTTTTCATTTGTAATATTCTACTGTTTATTCTCTTCAAATATCAATTCAATGATACTTGCACACCTGCCAGTGTAGAACTCATTCACCCTAGGAAAATCAACAGCAGGTGCAGATAATTTCTTCTGTGTAGCTTCACCAGTCTTCATGTTGAACCTCATCTCATACCTGATTCGGAATTGTCAGAATCAGAAAGAATCTGCTGTGTAATGGGTGTTATAAATAAAAAAATCCAGTCAAGAGTACACCTACAGTTGATTTGAGAAAGTGTCAAGCTTTTCCTTGACTGTTCCACTGACCAAGTCTAAATCTGGGTTCTCAAGGCGACAAGTGATCAGAACGACTTCATCTTCCTCTTCCCAAGCATTGGCTAACAAAAGCAAGTTACCAAAGGAGTCAGATCACATGCTTGGATCCAGGGCAAGATTAAGGAGTCACTTATTAAGAACCAGCAAGACCAGATTTATGGAATGCCATGCTTACGCAGAGTCTAGCTCAAAGCCTCTTGCAACATGCTAAATCCGTTAAGGGAAAAATGGATAGGTAAAATAAGCAAAATTAGATAATGAAGATCCACATAAAATATGAATTCAGATGCATATTCAATTGTGCTTCAGACTTAGATAATTTTCTCACAAGATATTTAACAAAAGCCAACAGATAATCTGCAGGCCTGACAATTTCTGGGTTCAATTTATCCATTTATCAGCTGCCTTTCAGGAAGAGGTTATGTAGTAGTTGATGTTTGGATTTAAAAAAAAAAATAAAATGTATTTATATATATATATATATATGTATATGGTAATAATACTAATAATAATAATATATAAACATAATTATATATTTGGGGAGAGGAAGAGGGAACGGTGTCGTTTGGAGAAGAGGGAGCGGACGGCTAGAATGAGATGAGATGGACGGTCAGGATGAGAGGTAGGTGGGATATAAATAGGAGAAAAGAAAAAAAAAAGGGAGGAAAAGAAAAGGAAAAGAAGGAAAGAAAAAAGGGAAAAACAGAGAGGAGGAAACGGGGAAGAGAAGCTGGAGCGGGAAGGAATGAAAAGAGAGAGCGGGAGAAGGAAGATGGTGAAGGTGCGAGCTACGGAAGTGCGGAAAAGATGGAGACTGGATGTATAGTAAATTTAAATTTCAAGTGTAGGATGAGGATGAAATGTGGAGTTGTGGCTGTAAGTGTTGAAGAAATGTATGAATAGTTAAGAAAATGGAGTAGGAAACCATGATAGATGGAATAGGAGAGTGGAAAGAGACTGTGAGTGACGGAAATGTGGATTGGAGCTGTGAGTAGAGAGAAATGGAGGAAGTTGCAGGAGGAGAGATCGATGAGTTTGGTGAGTGAGTGAGTTACTGCTAGAGGAAGGAGTACGGTGATTGAAAAGGTGCAAGGGAGTTCGTGGAAATGTGGATTGGAACTGTGAGTAGAGAGAAATGGAGGAAGCCGCGGGAGGAGAGATCGATGAGTTCGGTGAGTGAGTGAGTTACCGCCAGAAGAAGGAGTACGGTGATTGAAAAGATGCAAGAGAGTTCGTAGGGAAGTGAGGTGAGTTGGAGTGAGTTTGGACGGGCAGAACGCGCACGGGTGAAGAGTGCTGGAAGCCGAGGCAAACGAAGAGGAGGCAAGAGAAGTATTGAGAGGGGAACGGTTAGAGGTAGAATGAGTATGGGAGGGTAGTGGGAGAGAAGCTGAAAGAGGAAGATAGAGAGATGTAGAGTGCTGTGAGAGAGTGGTAGTGTTAAGAAGAAGATGACGGAAAGCCGAGACAAACAAGGAGAAGGGAAGAGAGGGATGGAAAGTGGATTGGTTGCTAACAGGGAGTGTAGGCATGT